CTGCAGGAATGCTGCCTGGGTCACCAAAAGTGAGGTCCATGACCTGCATTAATGAGTGCATCTGGATCTAATTCGAAATGCAGAATCTCAGGCCTTGGTCCAATTCTGCTGTCAGAATCTGCATTTTCACCCGATCCTAGACAATTCGTATGCATGTTATAATTCAAGAAGCTCTTCGAGAACTTTGAGGACTGAAAGGTTAGGCACCTTGGATTTTCACTCTTATATGTTGGTTTTGAGGTTCACTTTCAAATATGTTGACTTATGATTACTTTAAAGTTTAAAAGTTCAATAACCTGGTGCTCAAATACTCAGTGTTCTTAACTGGAAGACAATGTATAAAACTCTGGGTTCTGGTCCAGACAGCACAGCTGATGTTCTTCTATGAACACAAATCTCTGATTTGTCTGTTTATATGGAGGGCATTTCTGCCCCATACCAACATGGCATCCTCAACTGTTTGTGAGCAGAGCCAGATTTTTTCCTTATAGGTTTTTAAATTTTTTTTTAATTGTTTAGAGCATTATAGTTATGCATAATAGTTGGGTTCATTTTGTCAAAATCATACATGCATGGAATTTGATTTACTCCATTTCAGTTCCCAGTTCCATCCCTTTCCCTTCTCCCTTCCCCTCTTCATCTTTCTCCCTTATATAGGCTTTGAACTTGCTCAAATGCTAGGAACAAATGCTTGATTGAGGACCCAGAGTTCTCGGTACATAGAGCATAAATAAATAATTTTGGATTGAACAACTTAGTGCAGTTGTTACCACTATCAACCTTCACAGAAAAGAGCCTTCTAAACAACGGATTTGAGGTAGAACTATGGATTGATGGTTAATGCAAAACATACCCCTGCTTTGTCAACCAGGTGAATAAGTTGACCCATTGGGTGTAATTCTTTAGCGTTTTCTTAAACAATGGAGCATGTCTGCCATGCATAGCAATTTTAGATTTGCTGGAGTATGTGCTGTTTTTTTTTTGGCAATAATTATTCAACAAGTTCAGCTGCTTCTTAAGACAAGTCTTTGCTTATTAAGAATAAAATCACACCAGAGAGCAGAAGTTCTCAACTTTGAACATTTGAATCCCACAGGAAGGATTAATATGTATGAATTCCTAGGTTTTCCAATAGATGTTGGCTTAATTGGCTTAGGGTGAGGCCTGAGTTTCAGTGTGTACAGAGTTTCTCATCTGATTCCAACACACAGTCAGGCTTGAGGGTAACTGTCACAGAGGAAGGGTCTTGTCTTCTGATTTGCCAGTGTTTATGTTTCCAGTGAATCTCATAGCTGTGTCATATTATTCAGATATGTTAAAAATAAGAGTGACTCACTCACTAGCTTTGAGCCCTTGAAGGAATCACTTGAATCCCACAAACCTCAATTTTCTCCTCTCTAAAAGAGGGCTAATTCTCTTCTCTAAATTGGGGATAATTGTTACATTAAAGGGGAGTTATGGAGATTTAAATAAAATATTAAGGCTACTAGGTCAGTGCCTAGTATATAATAAGCACTCAACAAAATGGGAGTTGTTACAAATAATGGTGGCCATGGCCCTGTTTTGTATACTCAGAAATGGAACTCAATGTCCTCTGAGTCTGGTGGTAGCCTCATGATACAGGCTTTGACCACAGAGTTCTCTACTGAGGTTACGCTACTAGGAATCTGAAATAAGATCAGAGAATGCTCCAAAGAAGTTCTTCATTGTTCTTCACTGTCTTAAGATGAAACAAAATGGAGCAGTGATCATGGAAGTGGATTAGTCATGCATAATACCCACTCACTCCTCATGGAAAGAGAAACCCAGCCCAGAAACCCTCTGAGAAGAAAACTGCCATAAAATATCAGGGGACATCCAAAGAGAAAGTAACGAGTTTCAAATTTGAGAATTAGGTTGTTTTGGGGTTTTTTTGAAAAAAAAAAAAAAAAAAGCCCATAAAACAAATTGAGGTAAATCATGATGAGGAATATCCTTCATAGAAATTTAGTCAGAAATCTTTTGGATTGCATTGTTTTTTAAAAAAATTTTAGACTATTCATCAGATATCTTAGAATAAATGACTTCTGTTTTTTTTCTTTTTAAAATCTCTTGTTAAATGCAAATTTGATAAATATGTATGTCTATACATATCCTAACTAAATATAAAGCAGTATTTTTAAAAATAGAGTCATAGCACTTTAGGGCCAAATGATTTTTGCTGGGGTGAACTGTAGAATCTCCCAAATGTGATGTGATAAATGTGATGACAACATCAAAAGAGTATAAGTTCTATTGAAATCACTCCCTTGGTTCTCAGATGGAAATGCTCACTTTATACTACTATTGCAGAAAGAATACCAGGGTTCTTATGTGCTCAAATTTGCATTTTTGAAATCTGATCACTTTGGTTGAACTGAAAACCTCCCATTAAAATAGATTCTAAAATATGTGAGGGGGGGGGGCGTTTCTAAATAGTCTAACAGCTTGTAGAATAATTAGAATATACATAGCATGGAACTGAGCTCTGACCTAATTCTGAACTCTCTTCCATTCTGATTCCTGAATGTTTGTAGAAAACAAAGACCTTGTTATGTTATTCCACAATCCAAAGAAATCTTTAACAATTCAAATCAATAACCTTAACTCAGCATTAAAGATCCCTATAAAACTGGCCCTAAAATTTTATCTGATTCTAACTTTTTAAAAATGTTCTGAGGTGCCCAGAACAACTGCATCAATTGCTTGTTCTGTCTCTTCTGAGAATACTCCTTCCACTTTATGTCTGCCTTTCAAAACTTGATTATTCTTTATGCCCCAGCTCAAATGCTATCCTTTTGAGAAGACAGACTCAGTCTCGGCCTCAATCTTAATTTTACTACTTTCTTGCTCTGTGTTTCATGGAGCTTCATATCCTTTCTACAGCATTAATTATACTTTTTGTTTTGTTAAAAATTACTTGGAAAGCCATAGTGAATGACATATAAGGGAAAAGAACATAGACTTTGAGCAGGAGAAGACCTGAGCTAAAACTCTGGCTCTTGGGCAAATCACTTAATTTCTCCAAATTTCAACTCCCTCATTTATAAACTGAAAAAAATATTACCAAATTTGTGTGGATTAGTAGGAGATATCTTATGAGAATATACAGGTAAACATCCTCAATAAAGGATAGCTAATATTATCATGGTTATTCAGATCCTCTCCCCACTAGTTCATTAACAGTACCTTATAGCATCTGACACTCCATAGTGATTTCTGAGTTGAATGGAAGCAACCCAAATTGTTGGCATCTGCTGCCAGGATCTTACTGAGCTATTAGTTTTTCAACATCTGTTTTGAATTTCAGAAAGAAATTTCCATTTTTAGAAAACAGCAGCATTTTCCTGTGGCATTTCAAATGTCTCAATACTGCAATGATTATAACTTCTGCTTGATAGAATCCAAGTCAGCAAAACCAGGGTGAAAGCCCAGCCTACAAGTATGTCTACTTTACTTAGGCCCACAAGACCATAATTCTCTGTTCAAAGAGCCCAAACAACAAGGAACACTGTGTGAGCTTTTAATGACATTGCCCTTTGCTCAGATGTTTAAATAGCAGCAATAATGGAGCTTGAGAAGCTCTTAATTATCCACAATACTTGGAGACAGAGGAAGCAGGTCATAGAAAACCCTGGTTTTCTTTGATATCTAAAGTGCTGATAACTATACGGGATGCACTCACAATGTGTTTTTAATGACAGTTATTGAATCCCTTTTCTTGACTCCCAATTCCTTTATAAACCTCTCCAAAGAAGTCTCCAGTAGTTTCTGAATTATTTCCTGTAGAAAGCAGAATTTTCTTACTTACCATGATTCCTGAATAATCTAAGTCTTTTTTCTTTTTCTTTTTTTGTTGTACTCTTTCAATTCAATATATATATATATATATATATATATATATATATTACATATAGGGGATGCTAAGGGGAAAGCATGAGGAGCAGGGGAAGGCTTAACTTCCAGAGGAAAAAGTTTCGGCTGTCAGAAATATAATAGAACTGCCATAAGAATATTAAATCAGCCATGCTAATTATGAAACATAATTGAGGTTATGTATTTGTGTCAGGATGAATAGATCAAACTCCGCCCCCCATCAAGATAGAAAATAAAAATCAAGAAAAGAGAGGTAGAGATATTAGGATCCCAGAATTAGAAGAAACCAACATGCCCAAGTGTATAATGATGTTTCAGCACCAAGGACAGAGCCAAAGGGCCTTAATACTCACCCATCCTATAAAATTAGCAAAGTTTTTAGTGTTTTAAAATCTCCACTCAAATGATTGTATACTCATCTATATATTGTTTTTCTGAACATTGGTTATATTTTAGATCTTGGTCTGATGTATAAAGACGCTAGCCAACTACAGCTCCCAAAGTAAAACTAGGCAACAGATGAACAAGATAAGTTTATAGTTATAATACTATAAGTGCTATCACACAGCTGTGTACAAGTGGGGGGATCTGGAGGAGGGAATGATTACTCTGACTAGTGCAAAGAAAGATCTTACAAAAGAGTGGACCTACTGGATATTGAAACTGGATATTGAAAATTGAATTTGCAAGAAAGAGAAGTAAGACCTTGAAAGTACCCAGTACATTCAGAGATTTCTGAAAATGTGATTAGAGGTGACTGAAAAGTAGGCTGAATGGGAGAAAGGGATTAGGCTTGAGCACATCACCAAGTGCTGAACTCAAGCTAAGGGGGTTAGGCTTTATCCTGGGAAAAGGGAAATTCACTGCTTCCGTTTTAGAAAGAAAAGTTCAGAAAGATTGTTCAGACATCAGAGGAGAGAATAAACTAAAAAACATAAGAAATGAGAGGGCAGAAGGTTGAATAAGGGATGTGTGTCCATCTCGTCCTGGGAATGAAGGCTGCTCCATCATAACCATGCTTAGACAGAGAGAATTTTCTTGGCTCAGTTTTCATTTTTTTTTTAAGCTGCTCACAAGAGTTTCATATGTGGATTGTGTCTCTCCAGATTCCTCCAAGAAGATAAAGGATGTCTTGACTGAATTTAACGAGGGTGGAAGCCTCCAACAATATGGCCCACATGAGGTAGGAACATTTCCATTCTAAGCCTTTTTAAAATCCCCATGTTCCAGGCTTTCCATAATCTATTTTCCTTGAAGACCTTGCTCCTTGATCTTTTTTTTTTTTCTTTTTCACCCTCAAGTCTCAAGTGACCCATCAGTGCACTCTGGCATTGTTTAAAAAATCCATTCATCCCTCTGATTGTCCTGCAGACCACATCACACCTTCTCCTCTGTGCCCAGCATTTCATTCCTCCTACTCCCCTTATTCTCAGCTAATAACTGAGAAATTTAAAGCAGTCAGAAAAGATCTTCACAAGCTACTGACCCATGTACCCAACTAACAGTACCTTTTCTCCTGTTGCTAGGAGAGTGCATTCAATCCCACCCTCTTTTGGCCTGTCTTCAGGCACTGCTTCAAACATCTTCCCCAGTCCCTTTCCCTTTCTCTCTCTCTATTTCTGTTTTTCATACCAGCTTTCCTACATATATTAGAATTTTCCCATTAACATATAAACAGAATTACTTTTCCTATATTAAAAAGTGTTCTCTTGATTCCACTTCTCCCTTCCAGCTACCATTTCTCTCATGTCCTTGATAGCAACGCTATGGAAAAGATTTGCCTATACTCATCTCCAACTTCTTTTCTCTCTACTTTCTTGAAAGTCCTTTCTTCAGTGTGTAACTCCTGTTCCTTCACTAAAACTCCTAGTCCAGATGGCCAGAGACCTCCACGTGGCTAAATCCAATAGCAGTTTTGCCCAATGGCCTTGGCCACGGTGAGTCAAATCCTCCCCCAACATTCATTGTGTTTCAGGATCCCACACTCTCCTGGTTTTCCCCTTACCCCTACACTTGACATTTTCCACTTAAAAAAACAAATGGGAATCTCAAACTTACCATGAGCTAAATTAGTATCTTTAATCTTCCCCCATAAAACTTGTTTTCCCAGCAGTCTTTCAGTCAATGTCACTTCCACTCTTCAAATTATTCAGCTAAAACTGTGGAGTCATCATTGGCTTTTTCTCTTGCTCTCATAGCCCCCATCAAGTACATCTTCAAAATTTACCTTCAGAACATATCCATAATCCAGCCACATCTCACCACCGGCACCACAACCATCCTTACCTATGTTATCACAGTAGTTTGCTCAGATTATCCCAAGAGTCTTGTAACCGGACTTCCTGCTTCTTCCCTTTTCCTTTAACATCTATTCTTCATACACATCCGGAGCAATCTGTTAAATTATGTCAGAGCCTGTCACTACTCTTCTCACAATCTCCCAGAGTTCCCTCACCCCCTATTCAGAGTAAAGGTCAGGTCAAGGTCATTACAATCTGCACCTCCTCACCTTTTACTTCTCTCCTCCTTCTCGTTCCTTTCTGGCCAGCTTAGCCTCCCAGGTGCTGTCCAGCAGGTCAGTGTTGATGTAGCCTCAGTACCATTGCATTTATTGTGTCTTCTTCTTAGAATGTTCCTCCCCAACATCTCCACGAGGTCATTCCCTCAACTCCTTCACATCTACACTCAAGTCATTTTCTTGGTGATTGTCCCCTTCTTTGCCCAAAATTTGAAGCCCTCTTCCCTGACCCTTCCTGTCCAAGTGCTTTGCTTTATTTTCTTCCTTAGTGCTTCTCACCATCTGTCACACCATATCAGTTACTTAATTAATTGTTTGTCTCTCCCACTAGAATATATTTGTTCATTGCTGTGTGTCCGGTGCCCAGAAGAGTATCTGACTCATAACAGTCATTTGACAAATATTTGTTGAATGAATAAATGAATGCAAGACCGCTTCTATTTCCAAATTCAGTGCACATTTCTTGGGTGCCCAGGCATTATGCTGGGCACTACAGAAGATAAAAAGATGAAGAAGCACAGTTTCTTCCTTCTGGAACTTACTCTTTCCTGAAAGGGTCAAATTCAAGAGACATGACCCCAGAGTCATGTAATCTTAGGTTAAACTTCTACTTCTGCCATCAACCAGAACGTAATCTTATAAGAGCTTTCACCCCTTTGAGCCTTACTTTCCTCATCTGTGAACTGAAGATAACAAAACATAAAAATCTTTAAGTTTGAGCATGAGGCAATTTTTGCAGCGTCACTTTACAGGACACTTTAAAAAACTGCACTCTTTACTACTCCTCTTCTATCACCCTTTCGCCAGGATGCTTTAAATTCAGCTCCCTTTTCCCTGCTCCTGGGTTCTTTTATGAGGGCCAGAAATGGGACAGATCAGAAGGATTAACTTGGGGAGAGGCTGGCCACTTACTTATTCACATTGTCATCCATTCAACAAACCTGAGTCAACGCCTTCTCTGCTGGACCCTGGGAGTGAATCAACAGAGCCCGTGCTCTCTTGGGGTGCACCTGAGAGGAAGTTAAAAGACACTAATTGCTGGGAGAATGAAGCAGAAGGGAGGTTGCCAGAACAGGGAAAAGAATGAGAATACACCATTTCAAACAACATTCCTAAGGAGAAGCCATGCAGAGAAGATGGCAGAGCCAGCAAAGAACTCAGTGCCCCACACCTTCCACCCCCAATGCAGAAAGCAGGGGAACAAAGGCTGGCGGGGGCTGCTAATCAGCCTGTTTTCTCCAGGGACTGATGCATGGGAGGAACAATTTGGTCAGGACCACCGCGGGTGTGAGCACCACGGGAGCTTTCGGAAGTGGGGGCAGCTTTTTTGTTGAGAGCACGTGGCCACCCCCGCCTCCATCAGGGCTGGCCCCCATTCTTTGTAGGCCTGGCACTGCTGCATCCCAAGGGAGCTCTGTCACTCTGATTTCATTCTTTCACAAAGAGCACCTGACTTCTGGTAGGTGTAATGTCATGGCATGGGATTGGGAAAACAAGAAGGGTTTAATTTCTCCTGAACTTGATGGCTTGCTGCTGCTAAAATGTCTCAACAAGAAAAGAATTAGCTGTGGGAAGGGGCAGATTGCTAGGAAAGCTGGGACAGGAATCCAAAGTTTATAGAATAGCGAAGCTGTATCTGGCCATCATGAATGTACCCTTGCCTATTAGCACCATAGATCCTCTGGAGGCTAAACCAGTGACAGACAGCTAGAGAGGGCTCAAAACCCAGCAGAGCAAAATAGGCAAGTGGCTTGGTGATACTGTGAGCCTAGACTCAAGACACATCAGAGCCCAGATTTCAGCTCTGTGACATATTTGTGATCTTGACCAAGTTATTTATGTCATCAGAATTTGGTGGGGTTTTTTATTTATTTTTTTTTAGTTGTAGATGGACACAATATCTTTATTTTTATGTGGTGCTGAGGATCAAACCCAGTCCCTCACACGTGCAAGGCAGGCGCTCTGTCACTGAGCTACAGCCCCAGCCCTCAGAATTTGTTTTATCCAAAAAATGATAATAAGAGTCTGGCTGGCACTGTCATCCTGAGAAGTCAAGTGTCCCATGCTTGGTGAGCCCTCTCTCTCAGTCTCCTCCCTTCTTCACCTGGGTAAGATGAACCTGTTCTCTTGGAAATAGGTTGCAACAGCTGCAATTGCCCAGCTGCTTCCTGCATGGAATTTGCTGCTGCTGGGGGAAAAGCAGAGTTCCTTGGACCTGACAATGAGGGTGTAGTGACATTCCCATAGCACTCCAAGAATTGCCAGTGGACCTCCTAGTGGTTGTTAGGTAGTTTTGGTATAATACCAAGCCACCCCCTCCCACTCACACATTCTGCATTTACTAAGTAGCTACTCTGCCCCTAGCCTGTGCTTATAAACAATTTTCTTGTAAGCCAGATATCCTTTGAGGATGGCATGCAGTGACTTACTGAACTTATGGTTCTTGCGGGGAATGACAAGTAGAACTTTGCCAACCCTGGAATCTGTAACAGAGACAGTAAAGATCTGGCTTCAGGTTTTACTCTGCCTCTAACTAGCTGGGGCAAATCACTGAATCTCCTCAGCCTGCATGGCATGAGGAGTCCCAGTCCCCTCTGAGCCTTTTCTGGTTTGAATGTTCTGTGTTCCCCATTTATTCTATGCCATTCTGTTCCCTGGGATAGGGACATGAATAAATGGGCATGAGTTCCATAATTATTGTTTTCTCAGTTCTCATGGAACTCACCGCTTCTGACCATTTATTATTTCAATATCTTTATGGTATATGTAACACCGTGTCTCTTGAAGGTGTGAACCTATGTCTGATTCAATGGTGTGTTCTGCACTGGTGCTCAGCCCAGGCACAAGGCCATTCCTGAAGTGCACCAACTAGGAACCCATCATCCATTCAAAAACCTATCAAGGCACCATGATTGGTGGTTTAGGGAATATAAAAATGAAATACAACAGATACCTTAGCATCTCTACCTTCTAGGAACTCTATATCTAGTACAAAAAGTAAGATATGTCACCAATAACTAGATTAATCAGAGCAGTATATACAAGTGTCACAGAATAGGAACCAGGGTTCAAAGTGTAGGAATTCAGGTACAGGAGAGCCTGTCGGGCTTCCTTGAGGAAGTGGTAGCTGGATTGGGCTTTAAATCCTGGCTAAAATGATGATAGATGGAGAAGGAAGTGGTTTATGCTGAGTGAAGTTCATAGAGGCTTGGCCAGGAAAGAACCCAGAGACCAGCATGAACAGAGTGCATAATTACACATTGGGAATGATAGGAGAAAATACCAGAATGGTCTACGAGCTTGAAGTAGCTACAAATTCTGATTGGAGTGGATTATACAGGAGGCTGTGGATTCCAAGTTCTCAGAAACTCCACAGAATGATCCATTGGATCATAGAAACACTACTTCTTAGATCTCCTATTTATATTCGTTTTTATTTCATCTAGTTTCCTTTTGCATGTATTTTATGATATGTAGTACAGACACACAGTACTACATCAACTGATTACAACTCTTTCTTGGGCAATTAGAAGTCATAGAAAATTTGGGGAGCTGGGGCTGTAGCTCAGTGGCAGAGCACTTGCCTAGCATGCGTAAGGCACTGGGTTCCATCCTCAGCACCACATAAAAATAAACAAATAAAATAAAGGCATTCTGTCCATCTACAACTACAAAAAAAATTTTTAAAAAGAAGTCATGGAAAATTTTTGAGTGGGGAAGCAATCTTATCAGAGTCACACTTTAGGAAGTCAATCTGGCAAGCATGGATAGACAGACGGGAGGACCAACAGATGGAGGTGAGGAAGGAAGCCCTGGAGAGGTATTGCAGCGGTCCCAGTAAGGTTCACGAAACAAGTCAGAAACTGGTGATAGTAGCAGGGACAACAGACATGGAAAAGGTTCAGATATGACATACATTACCAAGGAACAGTGGACAGAAGGAAGGGACAATGACTAGTCTTAGGTCATTGAGAGTTCAAAGATGAGTCTAGAATATTGGGAGAATTTCTGTTGTTGGCTAGTTTAGGGAGGAAGCTAAAGTTTAAAACTTGAGCTCTTCTAACCAGCCACCTTACCTTGTTGAAAAGAGAAACTGGGGCTCAAAGAATGTGATAGATCTGAGACCATCGGCAGGTATCCTGAGTCTCACACTTATTTTGTTTTTTCACAGCATAATGTTAGAACTTGTCTAACCAAACTAGCTTTTTGTTAAATCATTTAGTACAATCTGTTTTCCAGAAATACATCATTTCAATAGTTCTCAATACTATTAACCAAGAAATTAACAGTACATTTTGGAATTCAAAACTACAGCTTAAAACAGTCCTGTCAATTAAAATAGTTTGAAAAGACAATGCAAAAGAGCTTTTTGAAACAAGTTAATGAACGCCATTAGCAAATATTCCATCAAATCAAAATAGAGAATGAAGAGAACCAAAATGGAACAGAAAACAGTTTCAACAAGGAAGATTGAAATGCTGTCATGAAGCCAAAAAATTAGAAAGTCTAAAAAGAAATGTTTGAATATATAACCTCCAAGACAGCAGGTTCAGAGGTAAAGGGCTAGCGCCCAAACTGAATGGGATGAAAGCGGTAAGGGGGGCTAACATGGTCTCTTTGGAGAGGTGGGAAGGAAAGGGTAAGAAGGATGCTCTACTAGTTCCAGCAGACAGCGATTGCTTCACAACGGTGACCATGGAGCAAGCTTGCTGGTAGAAGTCAAGCAAATGCTGGAAGATGCAACCAGAGACGGACATGCAACCAGTGGAAGAAGGGGTCACCTTGGGTGAGTCACACTCGGAAGTAGGAGGAGAAGATTTTGTACTGGAAAAAAGGAGAAGGATGTGAGAAGAAGGAACATTCTGAGGTGATGTGGCTGTGAAGATAGAGAGGCACAGAAAGAGCCTGAACCAGGGAGACACAGACTCCGGAATAGAAAAAGGACAGAGATGGATAATTGTCACAATAAATGGAAATCTACCCGTTCTTGGTTTCCTTATTCTTTATCTAACACAGCTTTCTTCCCCCCAGCAAAGGAGATCTCTAGAACAGTCCTGCCTGGAGCTAAATACAAATTGCTTGATGAGCTCCTAGTGGGGTAGGTAGGGATCATTGGATTGTAGGGCCAAGACTTGGAACCTAAACTTAACCATTCACATACAAGTCAGCTCCTAGTTCTGAGAAGGCTCCCAGAGCTCCCAGGGTGGACGAGGGGTCAACATTTGGATGGGAGCACCAAGTAGGCTCCCCCCAAGGGGATTTTGTTCTCATGGCTGTTATTATTCACCAAAACCAGCACAGCAGATTTTGAAGTAGTGCTTCCTAGGCTGATTTCCAGGAGCATCTGCCGATTTGATGAAGAATCTGATGCCATGAAAGCACAGCCAGTGATGACTCACTGCACACTGTTGTTGTCGTTGTTGTTGTTGAGTGTTTGCTGAGTGCAGCAGCTCTTTCTGGCACGGATGCTCTCAGCCTGGGACCAGAAGCCAGGCGGTACCAGGAGAGACGCAGCAGGGAAAGGGTCTAGTTTTTGGCATGTCTCTTGGTTCTACCTTCTGTCCTTGGCTTCCTACTCTTCTCCTGGTGCCTAAAACCTTCCCAAGGACATGTTTCGAGAAGCAGCTGAGCCAGACACACACAATCCCCTGTCATCTTGGGATCTGCCCAGGGAAGATCAGAATGATGAAAATAATGAAGGATGGAGCTTGTCCTTTTCTCTTCCTGGTCTCTCCTATTTTCTGAAACCTGAATACTGAGGAATCACAGCCTTTAAGGCACAAGAAGAAAATCGAGATACCACAGAGGAACCATTTGTTTCCATCATGTTTTCAACTGAGTCCTTCTTCCTCTTAGCTGGGATTCCAGGGCACTCTCCGAGACCCTGTTCTCTAAAGCCATACTCCTCCCAGACAAAGGAAGAGCCCTCCACCTCCAGAGCTCACTCGATTACCCACTTTTTATCCAAATTTAGGCCACATCCTATCTTGTTACATAATCCCACTCTGGTTTGGTACCCCGTTGAGCCCCGATGTGCAACTGCCCGTGTTTTCTTACATTCCCACCTCCTGCTCCCTATGCCTGTCATTCTCTGTCACCTCCCTGGCCCTTTCACTCCTGTCCCCATCACCTCTACTTCCTTCACTTCCTTCTCCATTTGCCTCACCGACCATTTTCCTGCTTCCTTTTCCATCTTCCCTTCCTCCCTGTTCCTTCACTTCCCTCCACTGACTTTTCTTTTTGTCCTTCTCAGCCAGTTAGCTATGATGTCTTCAAGCTGTTCATGAGAACATACCTGGAGGTAGAACTTCCTCAGCCCCTGAGCACACACCTCTTCCTGGCCTTCAGCCAGAAGCCCAGACATGAAACTCCTGACCACCCAAAGGAGGGAGCCAGCAGCAGCGAGCCCAGTGGCCCAGGTACATGGACCAGTTTTCCCCAAGGTGGGAGGATGTGAAGTAGCTCCGAAGACCTTGTCACAAACACAAATCTGTATTTCGAGAGGGTGTCCTGTGCATAGTAACTTCCCCGTGGGGTGAGAATGAGGATCAAGGGACCAGGACTCCTTTCTTATAGGACCTTACAGGAAGTCCTGTTTGATGACTCCCTTGTTAAGAGGAATAAAGATGAGAATAATTCCTGCCCCTCAGGATCGGAGGGTAGGATGGGGGGAAGAGAGAACACAGACTAACAAGTGGCAGTAGGAAAAAAGCCCTCAGCAAAGATTCTAGTTTATAAATGGAGCATATTCAGCCCATGTCCAGGTAGGACTAGAGTAGGAAGGAGAAGGCATGGCTACTATCTTCCTGGAGCTTGGGCTGCAAGAGGGGAGACAGCCCACCCCAATCAGTGAGCATGAACCAAACTGAAAGTGACCCAGGAACAGAGACAGAACCTGAATGAACATTTCACGTGGGAAGGTCCCCTACCTCTCTGTACGAAGCTGGAAGGCATAAGGTGACCTTTAACTCTTTTTGTTTCCCAGATTCTAATGTACAGAATGCAGATAATGCTGCTAAAGCAGACGAGGCCTGTGCCCCTGATACTGGTGAGTCTTTGGAATATAAGATTTGGGGAAGAAATGGGGAATACTCATCCTTGGGGAGAGCAAGGATACCTAACTGCCAATTTTTGTCTCCACACAATTGTATAACTAAAACAGATCTTTCCTTATGATGCCTTCAGAACCTTCATCTCTGGGGCTCTTGCCATCTGAATGTTCTAGTATTCCAAGATTAGGTAAAGGTCTTGCTTCACTTGTCCTGGAACAAATGTTTACCTCTGACAGGTCTGCCTGCCCAGAGACAGCAAGCATTCTCAGGAGAAGGGTGGGTGTGCTTTCCTGGGTGTGCACACACACAGGGTTGGCTCAAAGGCTGAGATACAGATGATTCTATCAATGGATGGATGAAGAGGGTATAGCAAGAGTGAAAGTATGCCCTGATTGACTTTTTATATTTTTAATTTTTTATTGTGGGTTGTTCAAAACATTACAAATTTCTTGACATATCATATTCCACACTTTGATTCAAGTGGGTTATGAACTCCCACCTTCACCCCATACACAGATTGCAGAATCACATCAGTTACATATCCATTGATTTACATATTGCCATACTAGTGTCTGTTGTGCTCCGCTGCCTTTCCCATCCTCCACCCTCCCCCCTCCCCACCTCTCCCCTCCCCTCCCCTCCTCTCTCTCTACCCCCTCCACTGTATAACCCTGAGGGTCTCCTTCCATTACCATGCAATTTCCCTTCTCTCTCCCTTTCCCTCCCACCTCTCATCCCTGTTAAATGTTAATCTTCTTCTCCTGCTCTTCGTCCCTACTCTGATCTTAGTTACTCTCCTTATATCAAAGAAGACATTTGGCATTTGTTTTTTAGGGATTGGCTAGCTTCACTTAGCATAATCTGCTCTAATGCCATCCATTTCCCTGTAAATTCTATGATTTTGTCATTTTTTAATGCAGAGTAATACTCCATTGTGTATAAATGCCACATTTTTTTTATCCATTCGTCTATTGAAGGGCATCTAGGTTGGTTCCACAGTCTTGCTATTGTGAACTGTGCTGCTATGAACATCGATGTAGCAGTGTCCCTGTAGCATGCTCTTTTTAGGTCTTTAGGGAATAGACCAAGAAGGGGAATAGCTGGGTCAAATGGTGGCTCCATTCCCAGCTTTCCAAGAAATCTCCATACTGCTTTCCAAATTGGCGGCACCAATTTGCAGTCCCACCAGCAATGAACAAGTGTACCCTTTTCCCCACATCCTCGCCAGCACTTGTTGTTGTTTGACTTCATAATGGCTGCCAATCTTACTGGAGTGAGATGGTATCTTAGGGTGGTTTTGATTTGCATTTCTCTGACAGCTAGAGATGGTGAGCATTTTTTCATGTACTTGTTGATTGACTGTATGTCCTCCTCTGAGAAGTGTCTGTTCAGGTCCTTGGCCCATTTGTTGATTGGGTTGTTTGTTCTCTTATTGTCTAATTTTTTGAGTTCTTTGTATACTCTGGATATTAGGGCTCTATCTGAAGTGTGAGGAGTAAAGATTTGTTCCCAGGGTGTAGGCTCCCTATTTACCTCTCTTATTGTTTCTTTTGCTGAGAAAAAACTTTTTAGTTTGAGTAAGTCCCATTTGTTGATTCTAGTTATTAACTTTTGTGCTATGGGTGTCCTATTGAGGAATTTGGAGCCCGACCCCACAGTATGTAGATCGTAGCCAACGTTTTCTTCTATCAGACGGCGCGTCTCTGATTTGATATCAAGCTCCTTGATCCATTTTGAATTCACTTTTGTGCATGGCGAGAGAAAGGGATTCAGTTTCATTTTGTTGCATATGGATTTCCAGTTTTCCCAGCACCATTTGTTGAAGATGCTATCCTTCCTCCATTGCATGCTTTTAGCCCCTTTATCAAATATAAGATAGTTGTAGTTTTGTGGATTGGTTTCTGTGTCCTCTATTCTGTACCATTGGTCCACCCGCCTGTTTTGGTACCAGTACCATGCTGTTTTTGTTACTATTGCTCTGTAGTATAGTTTGAAGTCTGGTATCGCTATACCACCTGATTCACACTTCCTGCTTAGCATTGTTTTTGCTATTCTGGGTCTTTTATTTTTCCATATGAATTTCATGATTGCTTTCTCTATTTCTACAAGAAATGCCGTTGGGATTTTGATTGGCATTGCATTAAACCTATAGAGAACTTTTGGTAATATCGCCATTTTGATGATGTTAGTTCTGCCTATCCATGAACAGGGTATATTTTTCCATCTTCTAAGATCTTCTTCTATTTCTCTCTTTAGGGTTCTGTAGTTTTCATTGTATAAGTCTTTCACCTCTTTTGTTAGGTTGATTCCCAAGTATTTTATTTTTTTTGAAGATATTTTGAATGGAGTGGTTGTCCTCACTTCCATTTCAGAGGATTTGTCGCTGATATACAGGAATGCCTTTGATTTATGCGTGTTGATTTTATATCCTGCCACTTTGCTGAATTCATTTATTAGCTCTAATAGTTTCTTTGTAGAGCCTTTTGGGTCTGCTAGGTATAGAATCATATCATCTGCAAATAGTGATAATTTAAGTTCTTCTTTTCCTATTTTTATGCCTTTAATTTCTTTCATCTGTCTAATTGCTCTGGCCAGTGTTCCGAGAACTATGTTGAAGAGAAGTGGAGAGAGAGGGCATCCCTGTCTTGTTCCAGATTTTAGAGGGAATGCCTTCAGTTTTTCTCCATTCAGAATGATGCTAGCCTGAGGCTTAGCATAGATTGCTTTTACAATATTGAGGTATGTTCCTGTTATCCCTAGTTTTTCTAGAGTTTTGAACATAAAGGGATGCTGTACTTTGTCGAATGCTTTTTCTGCATCTATTGAGATGATCATATGGTTCTTATTTTTAAGTCTATTGATGTGGTGAATAACATTTATTGATTTCCGTATATTGAACCAGCCTTGCATCCCAGGGATGAATCCTACTTGATCATGGTGTACAATTTTTTTGATATGTTTTTGTATCCGATTCACCAGAATTTTATTGAGGATTTTTGCATCTAGGTTCATTAGAGATATTGGTCTGTAGTTTTCTTTCTTTGAAGTGTCTTTGTCTGGTTTAGGTATCAGGGTGATGTTGGCCTCATAGAATGAATTTGGAAGTTCTCCCTCCTTTTCTATTTCCTGAAGTAGCTTGAAAAGTATTGGTATTAGTTCTTCTTTAAAGGTTTTGTAAAGTTCTGCTGTATACCCATCCAGTCCTGGGCTTTTCTTAGTTGGTAGTCTTTTTATGGTTTCTTCTATTTCCTCAATTGATATTGGTCTGTTTAGGTTTTCTATATCCTCCTGACTCAATCTGGGCAGATCATATGACTTAAGAAATTTATCTATGCCTTCACTATCTTCTAATTTATTGGAGTATAAGGATTCAAAATAGTTTTTGATTATCTTCTGTATTTCTGAAGTGTCTGTTGTGATATTGCCTTTTTCATCCCGTATGCTAGTAATTTGAGTTCTCTCTCTTCTTCTCTTCGCTAGCATCGTTAAGGGTCTGTCGATTTTGTTTATTTTTTCAAAGAACCAACTTTTAGTTTTGTCAATTTTTTCAATTGTTACTTTTGTTTCGATTTCATTAATTTCAGCTCTGATTTTAATTATTTCTTGCCTTCTACTTCTTTTGCTGTTGTTTTGCTCTTCTTTTTCAAGGATTTTGAGATGAAGTATAAGATCATTTATTTGTTGGTTTTTTCTTTTTTTAAGGAATGAACTCCAAGCAATGAATTTTCCTCTTAGAACTGCTTTCAATGTGTCCCATAGATTCCGATATGTTGTGTCTGTGTTTTCATTTATCTCTAAGAATTTTTTAATTTCCTCCTTGATGTCTTCTATAACCCATTGATCATTCAGTAACCTATTGTTCATTCTCCAAGTGATGTATGCTTTTTCCTTCCTTCTTTTATCGTTGATTTTCAGTTTCATTCCATTATGATCAGATAAGATGCATGGTATTCTCTCTATTCCTTTATATTGTCTAAGAGTTGCCCTGTGACATAATATATGATCTATTTTTGAGAAGGATCCATGTGCTGCTGAGAAAAAAGTGTAACTGCTTGATGTTGGGTGGTATACTCTATATATGTCAATTAGGTCTAGGTTATTAATAGTGTTATTGAGTTCTATAGTTTCCTTATTCAACTTTTGTTTGGAAGATCTGTCCAGTGGCGAGAGAGGTGTGTTGAAGTCTCCCATGATAATGGTATGGTGGTCTATTAGACTCTTGAACTTGAGAAGAGTTTGTTTGACGAACATAGCTGCACCATTGTTTGGGGCATAAATATTTATGATTGTTATGTCTTGTTGGTGTATGGTTCCCTTAAGCAGTATGTAGTGTCCCTCTTTATCCCTTTTGATTAACTTTGGCTTGAAATCTATTTTATTTGATATGAGTATGGACACTCCTGCTTGTTTCCGAAGTCCATATGAGTGATATGATTTTTCCCAACCTTTCACCTTCAGCCTATGTATGTCTTTTCCTATCAAATGCGTCTCCTGTAGGCAGCATATTGTTGGGTCTTGTTTTGTGATCCATTCTACTAGCCTGTGTCTCTTAATTGGTGAGTTTAAGCCATTAACATTTAGGGTTATTATTGAGATATGGGTTGTTCTTCCAGCCATATTTGTTTATTTCTGTTACTAAACATGGTTTGTTTTCCTCTTTGATTATTCCCCCCCCCCTTTACTGTCCTACCTCCCACTGTTGGTTTTCATTGTTATTTTCCATTTCCTCTTCCTGTAATGCTTTGGCGAGGATGTTTTGAAGAGATGGTTTTCTAGCTGCGAATTCTTTAAACTTTTGTTTATCGTGGAAGGTTTTAATTTCATCTTCCATCCTGAAGCTTAATTTCGCTGGATACACAATTCTTGGTTGGAACCCATTTTCTTTCAGTGTTTGAAATATGTTATTCCAGGATCTTCTAGCTTTCAGAGTCTGTGTTGAAAGATCAGCTGTTATCCTGATTGGCTTACCCCTAAATGTAATCTGCTTCCTTTCTCT